ATTATATATATTTATTTACACCTATAATTATATCATTTATTAAAAACATACTTAATACACAACCGCAAATAAATAATAAAGCATAAATAAAATTATTAAAATATCTTTAAAAACTTATTATTATGTTATTTTATTAAAAATCATTTAGTAATTTCAGCACGAATAGTATGAAAGAATATTAAAAGGCAACAAGCCGTGTTTGGAATTCTTATGTTCCGGTTTTGTTTTCAGTGAAAGTTGGGAAGAGGTAGCGAGTTTCAGAGGAATCAATCATTCATTCCGTTATCAGCAATGGCGAAACACGAAGAACTTCCGGTTCCTATTTACTCCTCTCTGGAGCCCGTCTACGGCGAAGGATCTCAGCTCGAGGAAGCACAGCTCCGATTCAACAATTTGAAGGCCAAGTTCGAACAAGTCTTTGGCCACGCTCCTGACGTCTTCGCTCGATCTCCAGGTCCACCGTTTTACTTTTCTCTATGATATCAATGAGAATATACGAGATAGGAATCGAATAAAACTTTGAATTCAATCTATCTATGGCTTTGTCGAGCTGAATTGTATTTGATTTCGAGTTTTTGGTGATTTTTGGACAGTTGTTGATGAATCAGAATCTGTGTTTATTTTGTTAAATTGTAGTTGGTTTTGACTATCTGAAGCCTTTTTTACGTTTGTGAATTCTGAAATGCAGTGTTCTGGTTTTGGTGATTTTTAAACCGTTGTGGATCATTGAATTCTTTGTTTGGATGCAGGACGAGTGAATTTGATCGGAGAACACATTGACTATGAGGGGTATTCTGTGTTGCCGATGGCAATCCGGCAAGATACTATTGTGGCCATCCGTAAGCGCGGTGCAGGAGAGGAGAAGGTTCTCCGAATTGCCAATGTCAACGAAAAGTACAGCATGTGCATTTACCGTGTTGATCCTAACCAGGTGTCACATTTATTTCTATGATAGTTATTGAGATGCTTATGTAGATTTGAGGCACATCGTTTACTCTGATTAGTGAGTTATAAATTAAGATAATTTAAAATGGTGCAATGCTATTTATTTAGATTCAATTGCTAATTTTGCTATGATTCTTTACTAAATCTTTCTTTAAATCTGTCATAAAACAGAGATAAAAGCACAAATCTTTAGTTTGATTTCAAGTATAATTGTTCAAATCTTTATCCATTAGTTGTGACTACATTTTTCCTCCATCATTTATCCATATTATGTTCTGATTTTTTTCACAACCACTCTCCTCTTCCACTTGGAAAACTGATTTTGTGTCAAATATCTTTTACTGTTTATTGTGCAGGAAGTTGACTTGAAAAATCACAAATGGGGCCACTATTTCATTTGTGGGTGAGATGCTAAAATCTGTACTTGTGTCTGGTTAATTGCTTTTTGATTGCCAATAAAAGAATTGCCTTTTGATTTGATGATTGCAGTATCTTGTGATTTAAATGATTTTCTAGTAACTGGGCTTATCTTTTGTCTTTCTTTATTTTCTCTTCTTTCTTTACCATTTTTCTTTTTTGAAAAAAAATTGGACTTGTTTTTCTTTCATAAATATGCAATATCACTATGTGTTTTCCAGAAAAACTTATCTCTAATGCCAAGTTTTATTGTTGGGCTGAACCATTAGCTGAGAGAGTGCAAAAAATTGCAGTGTATTTAGAAGTCAGCTTTAATTGTGTTTGGTTTTCCTCAACAGTATTCACTGATCTGTTTTCTCCAGATATAAAGGTTATTATGAGTACACTAAGTCAAAAGGAGTGAATGTTGGTGAGCCGGTTGGTCTTGATGTTCTTATTGATGGAACAGTGCATACAAGTAAACTTCTGCAATAGTTTGATGTAGAATAAAATTTGACATAGTGAAATTGAGTCTAAGCACATATTCCTGAATCTAGGTTCTGGCCTATCAAGCTCTACGGCATTTGTTTGCTCATCTACAATTGCCATTATGGCTGTTTTTGATGTAAATTTCCCCAAGGTATTTGATTTCATCAATAATTGACTGCTTTTGTATATATGTGCTTCTTGCTAATTTTCATTAAAGCTTTTACAGATTGTAGATAAATAGATGGCAAATTTTACCATAGATGGTAAATTTTACTACATGCTAGTCTTGTTTGATGTTTGAACATCTCTGATGTTGGTCTCTTTTTGGACTTTTAATATCTTATGTCTTGCAAGCAAATTACATCTGATCTAAATATCTTGAATTGAATTCTAACATTTACTTAATAGTTGTTGAACAGAAAGAAATTGCCCAACTTACATGCGATTGTGAACGACACATAGGAACGCAGTCTGGTGGGATGGACCAGGTTCAGTTTTTGGATTCATGCATATGAATTTTACTCAAGATTTCCTGAATTTTTTGCTTACCTCTTTTTCTATATGCTCTTCCTTAAATTTGATAGTTTTGATGTTTATCACTATTCTTAAGTGAGTTCTTAGTTCAGCGAAGGGACATGTTTCTTTGTAGTGTGACTTAACTCTCTAGTTCTTGATGATATGGTTACTTTCACATTCCTTTATACTGCAATAGCATTCTGTTAAATTGACAGCTTGGTTAGAATAACATACAGATATTAGATCTTGGGCTCTAGGTGGCTGCTGTGTAGTATGGCATTTGCTCATAAGTTACACAACCTTTTGAACTTAGGCCTGATTATTTTTCCCTGTTTCTAACTTTTTTCTTAACTCTATGTTAAATTATAAGTACTGCATATTGTTTCTGAGTCATTATTCTATTTCTTTTGACAGGCAATCTCTGTCATGGCCAAATCTGGATTTGCTGAGCTCATTGATTTCAACCCTATTCGTGCAACTGATGTGCAACTTCCTGCTGGAGAAACCTTTGTGATAGCCAATTCCTTGGCAGAATCTCAAAAGGCAGTTACTGCTGCCACTAATTATAATAACAGAGTTGTTGAATGTCAATTGGCTGCTGTAAGTTCTGTTTCCTGAAACCTGGTCACAAAAAATAGTTTCTAGTCTTTTCATATAAAGGTGAGGAGTACAAAAATAAGCGTGATTGTGTGTGCATCTAAGCTATAAAATAAACCGCCTTGTTGCTGAAAGACATTGTCTCATGCATACTTGCACTAGAGCTAGCAGAACAAGGGAGGAAATGTAGAAATTGCAACTTGTATGGTCTCATGAACGTAGGTTTCTATTGTAATTGTTTTGTACTTACTATATATTTGCTGGAAATAGATTGTGCTTTGTATAAAGCTGGGAATGAAGCCACAAGAAGCAATATCCAAAGTCAAAACTCTTTCTGATGTTGAAGGGTTATGTGTATCATTTGCTGAAGGTTGTGGTTCTTCTGATCCTGTGCTTGCTGTCAAGGCATGTACTATATTATGTTTCTTATTTCGTTTTATTTCCTTTTTATTCAGTCAATCTACTTGCCAAAATTTAATTGGTTAATTTATCTGGTGCTTATTTTTTGTCAAAATTTAATCCATTTAATTATCTTTCATTTTCTATGTTGCTTATTTTTGTCAAACTGTACTTTTATTCTTTGTTACAGGAGTATTTGAAGGAGGAGCCATATACAGCTGAAGAAATTGAGAAAATCACTGAGGAAGGTCTGCCATCCATCTTGGGAGATAATCCAACTTCATTGGATGTGCTAAAAGCTGCCAAGCACTTTAAATTACGTCAGGTACATTTTCATTCATCTATGACCAGTTATGGTTGGTTTTAGATATCTGAAGTAGGCCATGCTCCACTGCCCTGCTCGTTTCTCCCTCACTGAGATCAAGTTTCCACATCTAGATTCCTAGATTCTACTCTTGTTCTTGGTGGGACTGTGTTTGTATTAAAACAAAGTGTAAAAAAAAATTTACAGTTTTAGTGAGAAATGTTTTTAGATGTTATGACGTGGAATTTTCATTAATGGTCTGCAACTGATTCCAGAGAGCTGCTCATGTGTACTCTGAAGCCAGGCGGGTTTATGCATTCAAGGATACTGTTTCAGCAAGCTTAAGGTAGGTCTTAGTGATTGATGTGAGTTGTTGCCTTTTGTGTGTTTAGAATAATTTTTTAGAAGATAATTCTTTTAACATCTTTACCCTAAAGATAACCCTTTAGAAAAGAACAAAACTAATTTCTTATGAGTTTAGATACCATAAATACAATGAACATGTTGCACTTGTATAAAATTCATAGATTCTACAACAGGAAGAATTGAGTTGCTTTTCTGCTTCTGAAGTTTTGAAAATCTCTTGATTTTGTTAGGCATTGATATGGTTATTTTCTGGTGTTAATTAAACTCTTGTATGTTTTCTCTTCTGCACATGATCTTGTCTGAATTTATTAATTGTTCTAATGTTCAAGAATCATTGTGCAGTGAGGAGGAGAAGCTAAAGAAGCTTGGTGAGCTTATGAATGATAGCCATCACAGCTGTAGCGTTCTATATGAATGCAGGTGGGAATATTTGTTAAAGAATATGCTTTGCTGCCGATTTATTGATTTGTGTCAAAGCTAAAGATATCTGTTTTGATCATAATAACATAAAAACGGTTGTGCTTGTGCATATCTACCTGCTCTCTCAATTTGCTTGTACCATTGATCTCCCTCTTTTTCTTCTAATGTTGAGCATGCTTTTAGTGTTCTTTCCATTACATTATTTTTGCTCCAAATACTTTCTGCTACCATTGCACACCATTTATTTTTACAATTCTGTCCATCTATTTCTAATTAGCTGCCCAGAGCTCGAAGAATTAGTTAAAGTATGCCGAAATAATGGTGCTTTGGGTGCAAGGCTTACCGGGGCTGGGTGGGGTGGTTGTGCAGTGGCTCTAGTTAAAGAAAGTATTGTGCCGCAGTTCATCCTCAATTTAAAGGTATATAGATCAATGGCAGCTGCAACTTTTGCTCTTATTTTAAAAGCAAGACAATTAGAAGACTAACACTTTGCATAGGAATCAGGAACAATTCTACCATTCGAGAATAGACAAAGGTGTGATCAACAAGAATGATATTGGACTCTATGTGTTTGCTTCCAAACCATCAAGCGGTGCTGCAATTTTCAAATTTTAGTCAGTTAAGCTGTCCTTAGTGCTGTTAGATGTGAAGATACCATATAATAATTTCCCTACTTCAGTTGAATAAAACTCTCATCCTAACCGGGTTTGGTTTTTGGTTTAAATAATTACGTAACCCAAATATTTGTTCAATCTAACAAGATTTCATTCTTTTTGACAAGAAATTGTGACTTTGTACATGCAATGTGAAATTTGCTTATAAATTTCTTATAATCCTATATGTGGCGAAGAATGCTTTGGTCTTTCTTTTTGAGGTTCTTTTGTGCCCAACAACCTCTTTCAGTTGGAGACTTGGTCATAGCATAATACTTTTCTGTGACACAGTATTAAGGATTGAAAGAACAAAAAGGTATTTTTTTGTAGTTAGATTATATTGACTGTAAAATATTAATTAGTTTATGATAAAGGGTTATCTAAAAATAAATGTTAATCTTTTTATATTTTTTTGAACAGGTTTTACACGGGGCTGGGTCGAATCCAGTCCAGGGGAGGGGGAGTGCACCATAGAGTGGCTATTGTCACTTGGTCCGAAAGGTTCGTTGTTTTTTATATAATAATTAATATTTTATAATTTAATATAGTTTAAATGATAAAATACTAAATTCTTTAAAGAATTTCACGCCCAAACAATCATTCAAATGTGCGTGTTCAATTTTTGTTTCTCATTCGGTTTTCTTGGGTCCATGATTATTGCTAACCAATTTACAATGAGAGTTTGGTTTGACGGGATTCGAAATTATTGGACTAAAAGACCAAAGATATGATAAAAATTAAGAGCGAAGTGGGTCCAAAAAGGCACCCCAACCACATTGCATGCATGATCCATTTACCCCACTCAATTAACCCAAACATGATTTTTCCTTTTCTTTATTGAATTGAAAGGATTTTCTGATACTGATAGCCACAAAATAATAATAATAATAATAATAAAAGTTTCGTTTTCATTAGAACAATGACAATAAAATTGCCAACGTGATTCAGCTTCCCAAAAAGAAAAAAAATCTTCGAATTGACATTTACATGTCTAAGTTGACCTTAATGCCATTCACAGATTCATAATATTACATCCAGATATTAAGGTATATTTCCTCCCCTTGATTTTTTTTTTTTTCTTAAATGGGGATATAAATAGGAAGTTCATTTATTTAATCACCAAAAAATTTTCATTTATTGAGTTCTCATTTACATGTTTTATTTATTTATTTATGAGTGAATCCATTGTATTAAACTACTAAACATAAATGCTTAGACGTGGGAGCATCACTAATACTAAGAAATTCACTTTTATTGAAGGATTTATTTTTATAGTCTAATGTATCCTTAAATTATAAAATAATTTTTTGTTATTTTATTTTATAAGAAAAATTATTGTATTTATTTTATCAGAGAATTCTTATATTATTTTAAGTTCCCGCGGCCCACGCGTTGAGACTGTCGTGTGTCGGTGCAGTTTCTATACCAAAAAAATAGACCGCGTCCCGTTTTTACATTTAAACGACGCACCACGAAGATGATTGAATGAAAGACAAACTAAAATGCATACAAAAAGGATTTAAATTCCCTTCCTTCAGACCATTGGGTTGTTAAATCCTTAACTCTTTGTCTTCAATTTCCAGTTACCTAGTACTTTCCCGGTTCCCTTCTCCTCCCCTTCCTCTTTCCTTTGCATCACATTCATTTATAAAATCAAGGTGTGGAATTGCAGAGGCTATTACCATTTTCAATCTAGTTCTCATCCTTGCATTGGATCTGGGGTTTTCTTGTTTCCATTGTAAGGTATCTGCTTTTCCCATTTTCTTTTTTTTTTCTCCGATACGGTGTAATTGTTTGTTGTGTTGAGTAATTTTTGTTGGGTATTGATTAATGTGGGTTTTCGTTTGCTGCAATTTATGGGTTTGATGAGCGTATGTTCTTCTCGCATTCGTAGGCATTCAAGTTTCGTTCTTTGCTCTCTCTTCCTTTGGATTCTTATATTCTTTGTTTTGCTTTGGTTTGCAAAGTTCAAAATTTGGATTGGTTTTAGGGGGTTCGAGTCTTTTTGAGATATTGTGATCGAATTGCTTATTTTTATGCCAATGAATGCAGGGTGGACTGCTTGTTTTGCATATTATTAGGAGATTGGCATTGAAGGAAAAGAGGGGTTTTGGAAATTGTTGAAGGAAAAGAGGAAGACGGTTGCTTTCTAATTCACAGATGGATTATTAGTGGAAAAGAAAGCACAGGCGTGTAATATAAGTTAAAATTGCATTTCTTGGAGATATTTCGTGAGTTTTAAACTGGGAAGTGTTATTTTTGCTTCATGGAGTTGAATTCATTTATTGTCACATTTTGGCTTAGTTTATAATTTATACCCAATGAGGAAGCATATTTTGTGATGGGTTGTCTTTTTGGAGTTGAGTTCTTGGTGGGTTTTAATTGAAGTTTGTTGCTTTGATCACTTGAGCTTTGTTTTGACAATACTTCACAGAGCTTTTTCACACTATATTTTATCATTAAAATTTTTAATTTTTAATTAATTTTAATTAATCTTTTATATACTTTTAATAATTTTAATTAAGATTTTATATATTTTTAAGATAGCATAAAAGTAAAAAAAAAAAAACAAAAAACAAAGACTACATTAGAGCACAGCACACCCCGCACTGACAAATTGAAGCCTTTGGGGTGTGAGTTGGAATGGGTCATATAGCTCCAAGGTTCCTATGCTCTGAGGTTGATCTTGAAAAAGGGGATAGAGGTAGTAGTGTAGAAGATTCGAGCAAAAGTCCAGTTTTAGGTGTTAAAAAACATGAAATAAGTTTGCTTTCTAAGGTTTATAGTCATTATATTGAGGGCTCAGAGGGCAGGGTAAGTTTGTCTAGCAATGAATTGAATTCTAGTGGGGTTTTGGCGGAGAATGTCAAGGTGGTGATGAGCATGAATATGGATGGAAAAAAGAGTAATGAGGAGAAGAAAGTGGTGAACGAGAAACATCAAAAGACAAGCAATAAAAAGTCTCCAAAACCTCCCAGACCTCCAAGAGCACCATCATTGGATGCAGCAGACCTGAAGTTAATCAGAGAGCTATCTGAACTTGCCAGGCTGAAGCGTGCTAGAATTGAACGGATGAAAGCATTGAAAAATATGAAAGCTGCAAAGCCGTCATCTTCTAATAACAACGTATTTGCCATGGTGTTCACCATCATTTTCTGCCTTGTGATACTCTTCCAAGGTAATATTTCCTCGTTGGATGTTAAAGTTTCCCCTGCCTTTCATTTTGTATTTTCTTGCTGTTATGGTACTTGTTAACAATGTAAATGAATGGCTTGGCATTGTTCAAAGCCATCCTTCATCCCCGTGCCTTAACACAAAAATGACCTGAGTTTTTCCAGAGCCAGAACATGCCTTTTTTTTTTTTTTTTCAACTTAGAGCATTTCAACATATGAAATGCTTCTCTTCAGATTATCCAACAAATTAAAATCCACTTTTGAACCTTTTTGTTTTATGAACCAGACCATGGTCAGTTTTTTCTTTGTTCTCCTTTCTGGGGCATATGCTTCTTATGGAACTATCACCATCCTTGAAATCTCTGTTTTTGGTTCCTTCTTCAAGAATATATTTGCTACCTTGTAACCCCTAACTTTAATTTCCCTTGCAGGCATGTCATCCAGAAGTACACATGTAAATATGCAGGGATCTCCTTTGCCAACAGGAGCAACAGATAGAAGTTTGATTTCAATGCAGTACATTGGGAATCCACCAGCAAGTGATCTAAATGAACCCAAATCTGCCTCTCCCAAGTATGTTATTACAACTTGCCTATTCGTTTTTGGGTCTCAAGTTTTAAGGACCAAGGTCAGTAGGAACCTGACATTCTTTGAAAAAACAATTCTGATTTTCATTCTACTTTGCAGTTTAGTGGTGCAGGTTCCGGGTTCAAATTCTCAGAAACAGCCGAGAATGTTTGCTGGATAGAATGGAACAAAGACGAAGGTTGTATTCTAGGCTATTCAACAAATTTACAAGTTAGTCATTGCTGTTCTCATACATGCCATAATGGTAAACAGTTTTTGTATACATGACCTCACAAACCTGGATCCTTTTCTGCGCATTTAACCCCTTGAATGTGTCTCTTTCTACTGGGGTGGGTTAAATTACAATGTAAGTTCCTCTATACAACAGGCCATGGCACATCCTAACTTGACAAAGTTGTCTCCTTAGCAACTGACTTTGCCAATTTTATTTATTAATTTATTTTTGTTTGGATGGAAGCTCAAAATTAATTTTTTCTAAACAATTTTAAAGACATCTCTAATCAATATCTTTTGAGTACTAACCCCAAGAGTTATATAATAGTGTCTATTATCATGCATAAGTCAAAAAATTTCCCATTTACCATAGTAAAATTCGTGTTCCATGTTTTTACTTGTTATCAAATTGAATTATATGGTAGTACTATTGAGATAACTTTTTTGTCGTACTCTTTTATATAATTTTTATATGTCATTAAATGAGTAGATGTATTCAGTATCATTGATCTCACATAAATTAAAAGATTTAATCATTTTAATAATACGTTAAGTTGTATAACATACATCAAATTGTAAAAAAATGTGACAAAATAATTGTCTCAATAGCATTTTCTTTGAACTTGAATTATATGACACATTGGTATGCAATGGTTCGCTTCCCAGCTTCTGCTGATCTGGAATTGGTGTTAAGTTATTGATTGATGGCCTGCAATTGCTCCTGAAGACTCGCTGATTGCAGGCTGTAGTCAAAATCCAGAACTTGATTCATTATTTCCTTCGTTTAAAAGCCAAAGCTGGTTAAATGATTTCATTTTCTCCTTCATGTGGTTTCACATGCACTGTTCCATTTAAATCTCCGAAGAAAATGGAAAAAAAAAAGAAAAAGAAAAATTGAAAAAATGACAAAAGAAAAAGCGTCTATAGCGTTTACTTTGGATTTGGAAACAAATCCGATTTCCATTTATAATTTTAATATACTGTAGTAAATATTTTGAAAAATTAATCATTACGTTATTTGTTTCATTTGTAAAGATTATGAATATTAAATATTAAATTTATTTCATTTAATATTTATAATCATTATTTGATAAAAAGACTACTACAACTCTATTTATAATCGTTGCTTTCAAAAATCAGTATGAATCTAGACGCGTTAATCGGGTAGATCACGACATAAAACAATTATTTTCAGAAATAATTAAAAAAGGAAAATGAAAATCTTGAACCTTCAACAAGAAGCAGAAGCAAGCAATACAACTTTCAAGTTGACTAAAGTTTATCCCTCATCTATCCTGAGAGCGAAGGACAAGGGAATAATTATATAGCAGTAATTATTATTATTATTATTTTAGATTATTGTTATTAATTAGATTTGTAAAAAAATTAATTTAAAAATATTTTTAAATTACATAATTTTAATAAAATATAATTAAAAAAGACCAAAATAATAGTATTTTTATTTTAATAATTTTCTATTTTAATCCTTTTAATATAAGTTTATTATTAAAATAATATATTTTTAAATTTTTTTACTTATCTTTTTATAAATATAGTTAATAAATATATTTTTTATTTTTTTATTTGGAGAAAAACTAAGTTAATTTTTATTTTAATTATAAACGTCATATGCTAATTTTTTTATTAATTTATTTAAAATTATAAATTAGAATTTGTCTTATTAATTCAAAACTTCACCTTTTTAGTTAAAAAAATGTCACAATTATTATTTACTAATAATTACTCCTTGTGTGCCCACAAACCCAAAGTTTATTTATATACATTTACTCCGTA